TACAAAGTTCTGTCAAATTACTATTTATAGTACATTGTATGTTTTCTCTACATTGTGGTACAGTGTACCAGGTACAATTATGTCACACTTGTGCATACATGTACATGTACAGGATGAATCCCCCATCAGAACAGCGTGAGAACTTCAACATGAGAGCCATCAATTTAAGAGCATGTAATGTGTTCACGCCTGTAAAAAGCCTTAAGGTTAATGCAACAAACTACAGCATGTACATGTTTGTACAGTAACTGGGTACATGCACAGTATGGTACGGTACATGTTCTACTGGTTGGATGCCAGGACTTTTTCTTGGACTCCCTTTTTTGTGCACCTACTTCAGTGTATGAAAACTGTTTGAAATTTGTCTATAGATGCACTGGACTAAAATACGCGTAGCAAAACAAAACTTAAAAATAAGGTTAATTTAAACACAAAGATTCAATTTAAGTGTTGTAAATTCAGTGTACCGGTACATACATGTATCTACATGTATTTGTATTGCATACAGGTAACACTTAATGCACAGTCACCTACTTGGGTACAGGTGATACATGTACATGTATGCATATGGAAACTTCAAATGAACTACAATATTTACAGTACATGTACATGTGCAAGCATAGGGTAAAAGTGGTCCTCAGGTGTTCAGTATTGATGGGCGTTGTCATTTTCTCCTTGTGGACTGTACCATATGAGCCCCGAGCTGGTCCAAAAGAGGGCGCCACTTCTTAGTAATGGAGGCTCCTTTGGTTAGAACTGAAGCTTGCGGATTCACAAAAAATAGATATAATTTGCGTGTTGCGGTCGCATTGCTACCAACAAAATGAACACTCCTGGCCAACAGTGGCTCTTTTGAACGGATACGGGGATATGTCTCTGCTCAAGATGGATAGGTCAGACTAGTATGGGCAGGTGTATGTCCATGTACATAAACAATTGGACCCAGTTCAAAGCTGACGAAACGAGGAGACGAAAAATGGACTCATGCTCATGTATGTAAAGTTTGTCTTATTGTTGGTAGCCATCTACTGGAACAGATACTGGAATCTACTGGAACAGATACAGATACTGGAATGTCCGTGGTAACATTGTTGGATCATGAGCGTACACCTCATCAGATTTCCAGGCTCTAAGCTAGTAGTCGTAATTGCTAACCAGTTACTATCTTGATGAACCTGTAAACCCCTCCAATGGCATTCAGTGCCCTATTCCCAGCAGGTTTTATTGATCATTTCACTCTATAGTCCACTTTTACTGGAACTGTACATGAAAGCCAATTAGCGTGGATGCATAGCATGCATCCTTCTACACCTCATGGTAAATGGTCCATGCAGTGATGTACATGTATGTGTCTGTTATACATGCGTACATTGGACATGGTTTAGGCTTGTCATTCCCGCTTCAGTATACATGCACACAATCTACACATGTACCAGTACTGTACCTCAGTTTATGCGGGTACTAAGATAAAATTGGCAGTTTGCTGTAACAATAAGTCATCATTTCTTATGTGCCTTGGTGGTTCCATCCAAAGCGTATCCATACAAATACGCTTGATTTTTTTTGTTTTGTTTTTAATTCTCAAGGAATTTGTCCTAACTTCAAAAATCTTGCAACAATATCTTGTACTGGTAAATTTGCATTCTTAGCATTGTCTTAGCAGTACTTGGGATACCCCTACAAAACTTCAGAGTACTGTACGTGTACCATTAGACAACTGTAGAGTTTTCTTGGAGTGTGGTTTTCCGAGTTTGTTTCTGGCCTCCTTTCTTATACAACATCTGATTGAGTACGTGTGCCTGCAGAGCCACATGTACATGTGTATTAGTTATTACATGTACATGTAGTAATAGAAACCTGAATGAAGACACGTCATTTGCGTATTGCACAATCCTTTCGCAAATCTTTAAGGTTGCTTTGGAGCATTGTGTGGATAAACTCTCTTTGAACATATATGTTTTTACATGTATGTACTTTTAGTAGCACCTTTCAAGCAGGTTGATTTAAATTTGATGAAATTGTTTAAGTAATGAAAACACCCCCCATGTGACTTTCGGACAGTGTAATCATACCGGTACAGGTAACAGGTACCCATGAATCAAAGCCCTCATTTGCCTAAACTTGTCTACATTTTTTCTACATGTACATGGAACATTGACATTAATGTCCAACTTTTCAAACCTACGTGTACATGTACATGTAGTCCCCCCATTCAAATGTTTTAGGGAGGTGTACATGTACTGTGTACCTTATAAGAAATACAAGATCTGTGGAGTTCCTATGGGATGTAGGTCTTTGCTATTCTACATACATGTGCTTTTTGTGGCCTGCCAGTGTGGTTATATAGTCAGTAAATAAACTGCTGTCGGGTTTGAACCAGTAACAAGACTTTTCTTTGAGGCATTTGGTCTGGTTTGAGCTCTGCTGGTCTCATTAACCCACTTGGCTCTGGAGGTAAATGTCTGCTGGTTAGTAAGTGTGGATGGATGGAGGAGTTAAGTTGAAGACATTATCTCCACACAGGTGTAGTCCCCAACACCAGTTAGGAAATATCTTCAGGAATCATTTCTCACTTTCAATGCCAAATGAAATTGTTGGGAAAAGATGAAATAACACAAATGAAAATTGAGAAATGACTGTGAATTATTTTTGCAAAAAATTGGCTCCGTTGGACTTTCACAGTCATTGAGATAATGAGCAATACTCATGTGTACATGTATCAGTACATGCACATGTCGATGTACTCGTATGTCTGCAACTCTTAATAGGCTTGATAGAACAATAAAGAAAGGGCTGCCAACTGATATGAATTGTCACTGAACTTATAAGGCTTGTTGGTTTATTTATGAAAAAACGGTACAGTGTAAACCTTTTTGGCGTAATGGGTAGTGGCACGTGTGTACATGGACATTGCAGAACCATGGAGCTATTAAACACTTTAATAGCTCCATGGTAACGGTAGAACCAAGCACAGTGCTCAAAGTATTAAACAGTAACAAATTATATGCAGATATTTTGGCAATTTCAAATATCACCAGGAGGTATGAAAAATGAGCAAGCTTCATTCCTTGACAGACCTTGTCTACTCGTTATTGCCAACAATTCTTAGTAGTAATCCCACATGACCTAGCAGTCCCACGGCAGCTGTGTAAGCGTGACAATCAACAGTTAGCACCAGCTCATCATGACAATAACACATCTCTATGTACTGTAGCCCAGTAGGAGATGAGACGGTTACCGTGGGATCGTCTTGACAACCAGAGATGCGAGCTGTTGTGTGCTTGTCACCAGTTTGGCTTAAGTCAGATAATTACCGGTACTTGTCCAGGACTTGGAGTCCCTATATTCAATTTGTTTCATACACATACACCTGTATGTGTGCATTTAATTTGGTGTACCAGAACAAGTGCACGTGCATGTACAGAAATAATGAAATGCACTTGCATGTACATGTAACAAAGACTCATTGGAATTTTAATCAGTGAAGAAATTCTCATATATGAACACAAGTGAACCGGTACATGTACAGTACTGTATTTACTGGTACTTTGCAGTATTTTACACTGTGAATCATGTTTGTACAAGGAATCTTCCTTTGGCTTTTTTCATCACTGGCTTGTTTTGCTTGAGACACCTCAGAGATTGAATGGTCAGGCTTTTACTTGATTGCATGCGTTTTTAGAAGAAATCCACTGAGTTCTCCTTTAGCCAGATATTTGATATGAGTACATACATCACACTGCCTCCCTTGTTGCATGCAGTCCCCAGTTTAAAAGCTTGGCTACTTTAAAAGTCTTATGATCTCATCTCATATTTCCAAGAATCTGTTGTTCACATGTAATTGCAGTGAAAGATGAATTCATCCTAAGAATATGTGACTGATAATGAGTGGATATACATGTATATGAAGAAGGAATATGCTCCTTTCAGCCGTTAGCGGTATGTTTGAGGTATCAGTGCTTGAGGGTTTTTAAGGAGGGTTGCTAGGCTTGGGCGTTATCCTGAGGGTATTTTCTGTTTCAGGAGTCCAAGCCGTACTTACGTTCATCCCCAACAAGCAGATATTCTCCATTCCGAGGGAGTGCAGTAGCACTCAATCCTTGACAAATGACCTGAATACTGCTCTTCAGATGTACACTGAACTCATGAACATTTACTGGGAAAGTTTTATCCAGGGTATCTTTACCCCTGTTTCTTGACGGCATAATCCATCTTTAATCCAAGGTGTAAATCTTTATAATTGATCATCTGGATGACTCATCTTGATTTAACCAGATGTTAAGGAGTGTTCACTAGCTGCAGTAGAGATGTTGCCCAACATACCTGTGGCTGTTACATACAAGACTAATTATGATGCCATTAAGCAAGCTACATGTACCAGTATCATCGGCCTTCGTGAATGATTTATTGCATCTAAAGGAAAATTGCCAACGGGTTTTTTTTTACAGGAAATGTCTGAAATGACATTTGGCGATTGCTTAAAATTTTAATCAGTGAATCATGAAATCAATATCATGTACAGTTTCCAACGGATACATGTGTGTGTATTTTCCCTTATGTTTATGCTGTTTGCACACCCTACAAGTGAATTACATTACTCAAAAACCCATATACTTGTACCAGTGTGAGTACATGTACATGTAGGCTGTTGTGCAGGTGGTGAGTTATTTGCAACAAGATGACAAACATCCAGAACAGTTAAGATGAACAGTTAACAAATTGTGGCACAGGTGCAGTAAAGAAAAGGCTTTTTACATCAATTGATTAAGATCTTTATTTCATTCATAACTTGTTTTCTCAGATTTTATTGATTTGAGTGAAATCTTTTTTTAGGTGCAGGTTTTCCTTGCACAGTAGAAGGACAAAACATCTTCAGTTGCGGGAAGTTGTAAACATGTTACATGTAAGCCTCACATTACTGAGGATGATGCCCAGAACTCTGGAATTTGAAACCTTCACACTAAGCAAAGTTTCTGTCTTTTATTCCTCCGGGTTCTCAGCTACAGGTAGGCCCAGCCAGACGCAGCATATTACTTTACCTGAAACACTGCGACAGATCCCACCAGCGACAGAACTACCGTGCCTACGGCATCGTTGGAATACTAATGAGGTAGGTACATGTACAGGTAATCTGCACAAGTAACCAACCGTCATGGTCCTGTGATTGGCATTGGTGTCATGGTGTGAAGAAATTGCCTTCCTGAATGTGACTGCAGTGCTATGATGTAATTATTGCCAAAGGCTTTGCAGGATTTGCACATGTACTTGTATGTAGAATATAAAAAAAAGTGAACATCACTAAAAGAAAAAGGGAATTGTACCAAGCCAGGTGTTAAATTGATTGGCTTTGTTCCTCTGAAGTGTTGTTTATTACGTGGTTTGTTTTTGTTTTCTGTTTCTACTTGTTTGTCGCATGCGTTAGTGGAACACCGGTTTTAATGTACATGTACATCTATAGTGTAGTTTTTTCTCTGTGGCCTGTGCCACTTCACTTCAGGAAGGCCTCCTTGTCAATATTTCATTTCACTTTCCATGTACCTGTAGTATTGTAGTGCTGCATTTCTGTAAACTTTGCCTACAGCCTTGACTATTAATAGAATTCTTCAGCAGTTACCGCACTTGAAACCGTGTCCCTCCCACTTTGAAAAAAAAAATTAAAATTGTGCAATTCAAAGTTCCGCATGGACGAATTTGCACAGTGTACATTTATAGGACTACACTGTAAATCCAGTGTCGTGTGAGATTTCAAGGACTGATTTACAGGGGCTTCAACTTATAGGGCCCGTTCATAAATTTCAGAATAAAGTTTTTTCTTTCATACAAATATGCACTGATAGGATTTGATGGTTTGCATGATAAACATTGTAATTATTGGAAGGTTTCAGCACTAAGAGCAGGTGGATGTATTTTTGTTTTGAGTAATGTTCTGTGTAAAACCAGGAAACTCAACTTTACTAAGAGTATGCTTTGACCATCATTAGGGGAATGGCGAATGCACTGCATACATGCATGTCAAGTGATTATGGTTGTTTATATCCTACCAGCCACTCGTCTGACTTTGTGTTGTTATCAGAAATTGTGTTGTTGCTTCCACCAGCATGTGTGTTTATTGAGATGGCATCAGAAACTATTAGACAGACTACATTGCACACTTCACCAGTCACGCAACACAAGAATTGTTGAGTTGGAACACCTACACATGTACCGGTACACGTACGGTACACAGTCCACTGATACACATAACGTACGCGGTACCTGTATACTGAAACAAACATTTATTATCTTGGAAATTTTGAGGTTTCTTTTCCTATACATGCACTGGTACATTTTTTTTCAGGACTTTACATGTGCATTATTGTGTACAATGTATATTTGATGACAGTATTTTGGCTTCAATATGGTCTAAATTCGGACTAATGAAAGTTATGGCTTGACGCAAAATAAAACACACCACATATGCTGTGAATGACATTGTGAGATACATGTACTGTGCACCATACACTGTACATGTACTCATATGAATGCTTATACCTCTTAATTATTGTCATAACGTTCGTAAGCTACTATATTAGAGCTATATTTAAGCTACCCTATTTCATGTACATGTCCATAAGAATACATTCAGTTTGCTGATACAGCCAGTTTAGCCTTTCTTTTGATTTTTCAATGCTTTGACCCAACTACCCCACATGTACATGTATATTACTTACGTGTACGTGTTAGTTAAATAGATTATGAGGTTCTCTTTCTGCTTGTCAGCCAGGTATCACTCGGCCTAATGAAACCAAGATAAAACAGGTCATCTTGATTACCACGGTCTGTTCAACATCTTATTAAGGCAGAATGCACTAGTTATTGAAGGCGTGTCTTCATTCCTTGAAGGATAATACTGGTACACATCATTATTTGTATTAGCACCATTACCTCATCACCGTGGGGACAGTTTCACATGGTTACTCTCTTCCATTACCAGTACCAGGCCTGGTTAGTATTTCTGTGACAGTTTCACATGGTTACCCTCTTCCATACTGGTTACATGTACTGTACAATGTACCCGGTACCTGGCCTGGTTGGTGGTTCTGTGACTGGAATTTGGAAACCCTTCCACGCTGATGCTGTATTTTACATACATGTACATGTATGTGTGTATAGTCCATGACACAGGGACTGATGTGAGGACAGTGTTTATTAAAAACAAGCTTGTAGAACTTACACATGTACTTGTACAGTGCTTGGTTGGCTTATCTGTGAGATGTAAATGTATTTCTAACTTGTGGCCTGTGGACTGTACTGGTAAATACATGTACGAGTATGTTTGTGTAATCCACTTGATTTTTTACATAACGTTAACAAATTACCCCTTTTTAATATGACCTTCAAAGTTTATCTTGTACATGTAATGTCCTGTATTCTTTTATTTTCTGGGGTTTTTTTTCCATTCACTTTTCTTGTGTTCATGTACCACTACTGGTACCAGCGTACTTTGGTTCGCTTTTTGCTATTCCTACTCAATCTCAATCCAATCTTCTGATTTTGATAAAATTTTCATCCGTCTTTTTTATTGCTGTCGTTATGTTTGATCTCATGTTTTATTTACACTATCCTCTAGACTGAGCTTTCATGAAAAATGCAGCAAATTCCCCCTCTTCCCCACATTGGTTACTTCCTCTAGTTCCTCTGCTGATTTTATTGGAAAGTAATCATGATTGAAGAGTGGTGCCATTCTCAGCCTGTTTGGCTGCCAAGCAGCGTAATTCATGCTGGACTATGGTGTAGTTGAACTGTCTCTAGCCATTAGCAGTGCTGTTGGGAATGTGACATGGGTCCTGGATGTCAGTTGATGCTAATCTACCGAGTTAAAAGCTATCCAACAGAAGATGCACAGCAATGGAAACAGTCTCTTAATGAATATTCCTCCATTGACTCAAATTTTTCTTCAAATAAATGCAAGTAACCCTTTCCAGCAATGTAAAAGCATTAGCTGTAATGATTAAAACCTCCTATGCAAAGATGCAATTCTCAACACAGTTGTCCTGTCAGTCAAAATCAGTCAAGTGACATGATTTGTCTCTTTACTGTACAGGGGAAGTGGAAGGAATTTTTGACTGTTTTTGACGGTTACAGCAAAAGGAAAGTTAATGGAAGTTTAATAATAAGCCAAACGTGATCAGAAAAAATGAGAAATGTGAAAATGAAAAATCTGAATCAAAAGAGTGAGAAGTGCACAATGTACAAGTACCTGTACAAGTACCTGTACAAGTACCTGTACAAGTACCTGTACAAGTACCTGTACAAGTACCTGTACAAGTACCTGTACAAGTACCTGTACAAGTACCTGTACAAGTACCTGTACATGTATGGCCTGAACTAATGAACCTACAATGTACAATTTAATTGAAATAATGGAGATGAACCGTATAACACACTAGATGTATATACAAAAGGCACACACATGATCACGGGTTTTAAGACCTTGTATTAAATTCATGGACACCATCTGATTCCTCATAATATGTTGGACAATATCTAACAGCATTTTAATGAGATGTCTTTTTAAGCCCTTGTTCATCTTCATCATTCCAATGCCCAGCTGTGTCCCCATTACTCTTCACACCCTCATCAAATGAGGATGTTACAATACCTGAGCCCTCACTCTACAAACCTCCTTCTTCAGAACACCTTGTCTTGAATGAGACCTGCCCAATAACCCAATCAAATGTGGCCTTGATCCAGTCCTCAACCCAGGCTGTTTTGTCTTTTTGTTTTTGCCTGGTGATCCAAAGGTCTTTTTAATTGAACCATCTTGCTGATACATGTACGTTCTCAACATTTTAATTAACCACTCTGTTTGGTTTAGACATTTGCAGCTGTACGCATACTTGTAAGCTGCAAACATTTAGCTGAAGTTTAAGCTGTCTTACCAGTCAGTGTCCAGGTTGTCTGCTCATCGTCTGATTTTTTTCTGGGAGTTGAATGGATTTTTTTCAGGATGAAAAGTCTTTCGATTTTCTGACATCTTTACAATATTTTGAAATTTTTCAAAACTATTTTTTATTTGTAAGAATTTCAGTAGATTTATTAAATCTCTCCAATTCAGAATTGTGAAGTTTTGATGGACTAAAGAAAGAACTGGGTATGAAACTGACAAATGTAACCAGATTCTTGAAATATGGGTTTTGTCGCTACGGTGATGTAATCTACCTGATGTACAGTATTAACACCTCCCAGACACAGAGTATATGTGCATCTTGAACAAGATTGTTGAAGTCAAATATTTTTTATAAGGTTACTTTTTTTACTGTGTTATTATTTTTTACAGTTTTTTACAATGTTACTATTTTTATTTTGGAATGCTTACATGTTCCTAGCATGTCCTGTTCTTTACTGTGAGAATTAATAATAAGCCAGTAGTATTCCTGTGATAAATGATCGACCCAAACACTTGACAAGACTAACAGTGTGTAATTTACTGTGCAGTCTGCGTCAGTGGCCAGTGCAAATTTGAGCAGACACCCTCGATTAGCTTGATTGATAACTGTGTACCTACTGGTAAGAGAGAGTCCCAGAAAAATTTGCAGTTGGCACTGTTGTCACATCCAGGTAGAGTGTTGACAGAACTTGGTGAAACTCAAGAGGTTTTTGAGTTTGAATACATGTAGAGGCTGGTTACTATCGGTAGTGTATGGTCCATCGTGTAGCGGTACGTGGATGTGGTTTTTAATGGCAACATAGGAAGAATACTTTTGCTTTTGAGAAAGATTCTGCTAAGATCGAAACGTCAGGCCCTCCATATATTGTGATTTGTATTTTAGGTTACTGTAGTTAGCAAGCAGTATGTAGCAGTTTTGTATGACATATCTCCAGTACTGGAAGAAGTTAAAATGTAAAGAATATACCGGTAGGCCTACGTGTGGTACTGGGTACGGTTTGTGTTAAAACACCGTACATGTACAGGCTGAACTTTAAGTGACCAAAAAGAATTTAAAGAACGATTGTAAAAATGTGTGTATCGGTACACTACTGTCATCTTCTAAAGGAATAGAACAAAAATGTTAGCAGTACAGGCACTTTGGATTGTTTCACTGTGGAGGAATTCCAAGGTACATGTAT